TTTAAGCTTTCTTTGTATTCTTGTGTTTAGAATGCATGTTTAGAACTTTCAATCTAGTTTGATCAATTAGGTTGTGGAGAGTTCGAAATCTTGAAGATATGAACAAGTTCTCATTTCTTCTTGATCCTTGATAATAGTTTTCAAGTAAAACCTATTTAACTTTGTTGGGGTTTGCTTCATCAATTAGTTATTCAAGTTATTCTTATTATTACTGTGAGGTTCGCCTTGAATAAGAGAGTTTTCAAGCATAATTGAGGTAGTTCCTTTATCACCCACCTCATATTCATGACTGCTTTCAGTAAGGTTCTAGACTTTTTCTAGTCTTATTTTCAAATTTGATCATGCTTGGATTATGCTTTCGTGTTTTCTTAATTTTGAGTTTACGTCTTTGAATATCTCTTCGCAATTAGAATGAGACTAAAAGGTAGAAGACGATATGAGGCTGTTTGATAACATCCTCGTTCCCTGTTTTTCATTTCTTGTTTCTTGTTTCTAATTTTTTAGAACTAGAAATAGAAATACATTTGGTAACCATTTCTATTTCCTGGTTTTTGCAAAAAAATAAAAAAAAAATGATACGTTTGGTAACCAATCTCAATCTCTCTTCTCTTGATCTCTCTCTCTATCTCCACCATTCATTATCATTGCTTGTCGCTGTAGGCCATTGACTGTCATCGAAAGTCATTGCAAGCCATCAACTATCGTCTCAGGCCATTGCTTATTGCTGCAATCTGTCGCAGGCCATCATCCGTCGCTTCTAGCTTGCCGCTGCAGGTTGCAGGTCGTCACCGCAGGTCACAGATTGCCGCCAAAGGTCGCAGGTCACTGTTGTCGTTTGATTCAATGTTTTGGAATGTAATTTAAAAAAAAATAACCTGGTGACCCAACCCAACCTAACCCAAAAATATTGGGTTCGGTTCGGTTGGCCGTTAGCTTTCGTTTTTCATCGGTTACATAAACAGACCAATTGGGGTTGGTTCGAAAAATCTCTTCAATCCAACCCAACCCAACCCGTGAGCACTTGTAGGATAAACAATGGGTTAAAATACCAAAATGAGATGTTTGTTATTTGAGCTCTATTTTATTTTTTCTACGTTTTGTTCTCTCTCATCTCCTTTACTTTACAAGTCTTATAACCTCTAAAGCAACCTAAGATGTTGTGTGTTGTATTAAGGGAGCATGAGATAAACGAGTCAATCGATATTTTGAATTTTACGTTTAGATGTTACCATTCGATTTTGAACTTAGGTGTTTGCACTGCCACATCTTAATTTTCTTCTTTTTTATTATTGTTATTTTCTTTTTACAATTAATTGAATTACTTTTTTATTGGTATTATTATTAAATTAAATTAAAAATACTTCGTGTATTTGCGTACATACTAGTATATAATATATGCGAATTTGTAATGGGTAGCTAAAATATTTACCATATTTGTAAATATAGCAACAACTTTTGGGCTTTGTAAATATTGCAAATATTTGAAATATAATTTTCAATTTTTTAGTCATTCTGATTTTATCCTTCTATATTTTTAGATATATCAATAGCATATTAAATCAGGTATATCATTGATATATCAACACTCATATCATGTATTTAGGTATATCGTTAGTATATCAGCACTCATAAATCAAATATATTAGTGTTATTGATTCCTTCAATAATATCACAAATCAGAATTGATAAATCAACATTCATATAAGGCATAAAAGACATGCATTTAGGTTACAAAAGACAAGTATTTCATCTAAAATCTATAAATAAAACAAAACAA